AGCCCTGGCCCTGGTCAGGGTGCGTGCAAGAGGCAAACAATCAATGTGACTCTATCAGCTCTCTGTCTCTCCCCCTCCCTTCCACTATCTCTAAAAATCAATGGAAAAATGTCTTGTAGTGAGGATTAACAAAACGAAAATAAATAGATAAAGAAATCTTAAAACAATAAAATGAGCCTTGACAAATGATTGCTCATAATAGTAAATAAGCAAGTAGATATGATCACACACTGTAATTTAGAAATACTAGTAAAATACTTGGGAAGAGAATTCAAGTATAAGAAAAATTTGGAATGTCTCAATTTAAAAAAAGAAAGCAAAAATATCCTAATAATCAGAGTTTCACATACTAAAATTAGTATCTACATGAACTGTAGAATATAGTATTACACATACGGTTTAGGCAACTATAAATAAGACAATAGGGCTTTTAAACAGCAAATGCTGCCAAAGTAAGTCTTATATAAATTTTTGGGTTGTTATCGTGTCATAAATATACGTATTGTATATTGATTTTTATGTAAGATTTGACAAATTTTCTTATGAAATCCTTTTGGAAAGTCATTAAAAAGTCTAGATAGATTGATGTCGGTCAAACATTTTGAACAGCCCTAACCGGTTTGCCTCAGTAGAAAGAGCATCGGCCTTCAGACTGAAAGGTCCCAGGTTCGATTCCTGTCAAGGGCATGTACCTTGGTTGCGGGCACATCCCCAGTAGGGGCTGTGCAGGAGGCAGCTGATCGATGTTTTTCTGTCATCGATGTTTCTAACTCTATCCCTCTCCCTTCCTCTCTGTAAAAAATCAATAAAATATATTTAAAAAAGACCAAAAACATTTTGACCAAAGGTCTCCCAAGAACAGAAGATAGTGAACACTCTGGTCTCAGATGGTTTTTAAAGTTCAAAATATGTTAAAGTCTCATTATTCTCTTTGAAAGTTATAACACATGAGTTTATTTCAAATAATTTACCAGATAAATTTCTTAGTTGTTTTTCCCCCCCAAAATCTTCAAGCAAAATTGATATGCCTCAGACATGGCTCAGATATGTTCTGTAGTTTTGAATATTTCCTTGTATCAACAGTTTACCACCAGGTCTTTTGTTTCCCTCAGTTTGTGAAGTGTGCAACTAGAGAAATACTCATACCACGCTGATAATCCTTGTAGGATTGCAAGGAACTCTCTATGGTCACCCAGAAGATTCTATTCTTGGGTCTAATATTTTAAAATGTTCATCAATACATGAAGAAAATATGCGTATCAACATTTTTAAATAACATAAAGCAACGGGAGAAAGTTTATATAGTGTTATATAATCAAGATCCAAGGTGTTAATATTTACTGAATAATAAGCCTGAAATTTGAAATTTCACAGAGATAAAGTATAGATTTAGATGAATGGGACCTAGTTTGACAGCTGTTTAAGGCTGTTAAGATGAAGTTAGATTCGGAATGAGCATAGCACAGAGCATTTGTGCTCTAAACCTTTCTAATGGAATCTTGGTCTCTATGTCAGAAGCATTTTGCCAAGATCAAGAGAGCTAAATCTTATCTTTCTCCTAGTCAGGTCATATCTGCAATATGTGTCCGTTCTGAGTATCAGACTTTGAGCAGAAACATTGAGGCATAAAAGGAAGACAGGGAAGAGAGTTAAGATGATGAATAGCCTAGAAATTATCCTAGATGATAAACAACTTAAGGAAAGAAGGTGTTTCAGAGCAAGTAATAGATGGTGTGAAGTATTGGAAGGTTGTTATGTAGCGGAGGTGGGCACTGGTGATTCAGTGAAGTCAGAAACAAGTGCAATGACTGTAAGGTGGAGAGAAATGATTGGTCAGTCGGAGGCGGGGGCGGATGCTGGTGTTTAGGATATTAGAGGTGATGTGTGTTTGTGTCTAGTGAATAGTTACTTATATTGTTTGTACCCAGAATGGAAGTAAAGATCATCTTTGTAGAAATCAAAATGATCTTTTTAATGCAGGAAGATAGTTTGGGATCATTGTGAGGGAGGAGTCAAAGACCTGGGGAATAAAGAGTGACCAGGAGGTCAGCAGATGATGGCAGAAAGGGGCTAATAAAGTGTGGCATGGGAAAGAGCACGAACTTCAAAGGAGAATAGGCACTTACCTAAAAAAGAAGAGGTAATTAAAAGCTCAGAGAATGCCAAGCATCCCCTTTGGTTCCTGCAGTTTGGAATGTGGGCGAATGAGAAGAGGCAGTCATTGGATTATATCATCTGTCAACATATTGAGTTCAACTCACCTTTGAAACCAGCATGGATGCTCAAAGTACATGCCTCAAGGTGTGCAAAAGAGACTGTGCCACAGACACGTCAGGTGTGGTTGGAATCCGTGTTGTCAAGTTTCTCACTGCTTGACTTCTGTCAAACCTACCTGCTGTTTTTTTCCCCCCATTCTTTTTAATACCTATTTATCAAAAAACAAATTGCTGCATGTACTAAGCTCTAGGCTAACTCCAGGGGGGTGGGGTGGGGAGGAATAAGGGAAACAAAAGTACAAAGGGGGAAATGTGTACAATATGAGCCCCTGGCCAGAAGAAACTCATACTCTAGTGTGAAAGGCAGATTTTAAAAGAATCTTAGCATGTTTCATTATATGCACTGAGTGTTTCAGGAGATAGAAAGACTGCCCAATTAGCCCTAACATGGGGAGAGTCCTGAGAGCTGTTAGGGTAGGATTCACCTAGTTTGATTCACCTAGGAATTGAGTATTAGAGGGAATTAAGTAGTTGGAGAAAGATAAATAGACATCAAAGAATGCTTCCACATCAATCTCATAAGCACACTTAAAGCAATCTGTCAGAGAGAGAAGCAAGATAAAACCAGAGAGAGAGAGGAGAGAGAGAGAGCAAGCAAATTTGAGACCTGGAGCTGGGAGAGGTTAGAAAAGGCCAGATTCTTGCTGATTATTGAGAGATCATCAAAAGTTTGTCCTGCATTTTTGGATACAGCCTACTCATTCTTCATGTATCTTCTAGGTTCTCCTTTTGGGACTCCGCAGTCTAATTCAGACTAAATTTTGATTAATTAACCACTTTTAACTTCAGATCTCACTCTTCATTGATTGTACATTTTGGCCAGACCCCTCTCACCCTCCCGCCCCTAGTCTCTCAGTAATTATCTGGCAGGGGGAGGGGCACGGGGGGAGGGGCAGGAGGTGTGTGGAGAATAGCCTTCTCTCATATGTCCTTACAAAGAACAAACCGGCATTTCACATAGTTCATAAGAGTATCCAGTGTCTCTTTAAAGAAAGTACTACCTCCCATAAGTTTTAGACATATAAAATAATGCTTAAAAGCACAAATAATTAAAGGTTTCCAATTAATAATGGAAAACTCAGGCCCTGTTAGGAAATGCTTTTTAACAGTTGCTCAATAGTAATCAAACTCTCATTATCCTAATAGTTAAACTTAATACTATTCTGTGATGGGGGAAGGCAATTTTATAAGATTCCTTCATGATTAATTATAAGCAAAAGGCAGCGAATAGGCTGTCCCATTTGTTTTCAGGGGGAAAAAAGTGATAAGACACTAAAATTTCTGGAAATATTTAAATGCTCTAAGTAGATTTGATTTTCTTAGTTATGTTGATTCCTCTTTTAAATATATAT